ACAGTGTGATGAAAAAAAGTGAGAAAAATGAACAGATACAGAACAAGCACGATGTGATACAGAAACATTAGATAGCTCACATTTAGAAAAACCTACTGAATCATAGTGTGCGGTACAACCATATCATCAACAAACTGGCTCAATTCACCACGAACTTTTTGTCTGTTTTGAAGTTCCTGGTTAATGTCTACTGACTGTTGCTGCAGTCGTTTCATGTCTGCACTAATCGTTCCTAATTCTGATTGAAAACCTATTAACATTTGTTCCAGACGCTAAAACTTCATAATACGTCTTAAAGTTATGGTCACGTAACAAAAAGCAAAAATATAAAAGCAATTTGAATGTAGATGAAAACTATAGTTCAACATACCGCAAAAGCTTCGTCACAGGCACAAATACCTGTATGCAACTCAGCCAGTTTATCTGCTTGTTCGATACAGTCTTGTACCGTAAGATCACGTGCAGCTTTTAACTGCTCTTCCACTTGAGATGAATATTCTGTGAGGTTCATACCGGACTCGAAAGCAGCCCTTATGACCTCGTCATCCACCTTAAATGGTTAAAAACTGCAATACAGAAAGCACTTACATTCCTACATGATAGATTTCAAAAAAGTAGCGCTGGATTTAAGAAAGACGGAAAATTTTAACAATTCTTTCTGCTTTTTTAAGCCTTAATTTCACTGGATATTTACCTCAACCAAGAAATCCGCCTCTCCATTTCCAGCTTCATAGTCGGAAACTGGCTCTCCTGCGTCAGCTGCTTGCATTATTTTTACCGCTCAGTTAATCTATCCATGTAAAAGCTGAATCAAAAAAAGAAGTTTCAAAATGATTCGTAATCTAAGCTTGCACTAAGCAGTGCCGTATCTATATCAGAAAAAAAAAAAAAAACAATTACATCCCAAACAAGTTACAGATAATTAGCAAAATTTGCTTCATGGTAACAATAAGAAGTCTACCAATTTTTTTCCAACGCAGGCTCAATCTCGACCTTGGTGTTCTATGTCTCATAAGCAGCAGAGAAAATGATGCAAACGAAAATTGATTCCGAAAACCTAAGTAGCTGATTTAATGTTAGTAGGAGAATGAACATCAAAAAGTGTTGCCATACAGAGGTA